TGCTATAAACATGACTGTGCACACACCACTGCATAATGATGTCTTTTATTCTTTCAGGAAGATACATAGAAGAAAAGCTGGGTTGAACAGAATTCCCATTTTTCATTTTTTGAAGAATCTCCACTCTTGTTTCCATAGCGGTTGTACCAGTTTACATTCTCACCAACAAAACAATTCTTTTCTCCACTTCCTATCACCTCCCAAGCTATTACATCACGTGAAGTTGGTACTTACTCCATTCTGAACAGAAAATGTCTCATCTGGATGGCCTCAACCATGTAAAGAAAGAACAGAAGTGTTCTTTTAGAGTAACTAATTCTTCCATGCAAATACAGGCCATTACCGCATGCTGTCATTTTATAATTTGTATCTCTCATCATCATTGATTCTAAACCTTTAAGGAGCACAGCTCCACTCAGAAATAACAAGAATAGAGCCGGGTGTGCTGACACACACCTGTAATCCCAGCACTCCAGAGGCTGAGGTAGGAGGACAGCTGTGAGTTTGAGGCCAGCTTGGGCTACATAGTGAGTTCCAGGTCAGTCTCAACTACATAGTGAGGCTCTGTCTCAAAAAATCAAAATAAATAAATAACAAGCATATAATATATTCAAGAAATCACAATAGTTTATGGCTATTCCATTCTGGGGAATGGTACCCAAAGCTACGTGGAACACAAATACACTAGAACTGAGGAAGTAAATCAGGAACCACTTACATAACAACCTCCACTTACAATCAGGTTCAAAATAGTAGCTCATCTTGGTGATCATGGCTACAGACCCTTGGAAGATCAAATGTTTTTCATTTCAAACATTTAATAAAAAAGTCTTTATATTAAAAACAAAAATGGTCCTGGCTATTTTTATCCCAGTGTGGGGTTCAGCTTTTACTTGAACTACTCAAAGTCCATAGAAAAGCTGGAAAGTGTCACGGTCACTAAATCACTGTTTCTCCTGCTTCCATAAGAAAAAAATTAAAGGAAAGGAAAATATTCTGTGTATCAAGAAATCTAGAGGTTAAAGGAGTGTGAAAAATACAAGTCAGCACTGGTTGAGTGAGTCACTTACGGCCCTCAGGGAGTCATTATTGGTTAACTACAGTCAATTCTACCTCTAGGTGGACAATAAGTAAAGCTAGGACAGAATCTATAGTCAGGATGTTATTTCCTTAAGCAGACCGAGCTGTGGGAGCAGAGAGGAAACATTCATACCCTGTTCTAGAACCCAGCATCAGGAACAAAGCTGTCCTTGGCGATGCACACAGTGGACAACTGCTGTGTCCTTGCAGCTCTTCCACGACAGTGAGTTGCAGCTGGCCCGGCCCATTGTGTGGAGCAGCGCTACGCCCTCCAGCACCACGGATGATGCCTGTGACTGCAGAGCTTTTACAATTACCCGGAAATGCTTGTTAAGCACAAAAATCCTTAAGTCACCACCTACAAGCACTGCATCAGAATCTGCAGGAGAGGGGCTTGGAAAACTAAATATTTAATAAGCGCCCCTGATGATTCTCACCTATACAGAGGCTGGGGAAGCTGCATGGACGAGTTCTAGGCCCAGGCGCACCCCTCTGTGTTGCGCTCCTGGGCCCTAAGCGGGGTCTGACTGGCCTGAGGCACCCATCGGCCGTCTGAGCCACTCCATTTGGCAGTGAGGCTTCCGTGATCAAATAACTGTATGTCTGTGATATAAGCCAAATTACAAAATCAAGCGGCTTAAAAAGAAACAGTAGTTCATTAGAGAAGTTGTTTCCATCAAGTCTCTCGCTGTTTTTGGAATAGAAAGTCAAAACAAAGGCTTTAGTTGGCATAATATTTAAAAGCCACTTTCAGTATACCAGTCTCCCGAAAGAGGAAAATTCCACATTAAATAGAAAATTTAAAAAAAAAAACCCATAAGCACAAAAAATACCCATCTAAATTAAACCTAAATATTAATTTATTTTAAATATTCAGTAACAATTTTACTTTATTAACCATATCCTACATGGAGTCCATAATCATTACAGAAATTTTTCATAAACACTCTGTCATGTTATATAATCACTTGGATTAATTTTATTATCTTAAAGGAAAGTTAATTAAAATCAAATTAATTTATTAGAAAGCAAAAACAAATAAAAATTTGGTTTTTGCTTTAAGAATCTTGTTATTTAGTCAGCTCCTAATTTCAATATTTCAATATTGAATATTTCAGAATACAGCACTTTGAAATGCCCCAAATATAGCCCAGTGTTCCATGTTAGTTGTGGCTGCTTGATTATTTTTCAGGGCACTGTGAGCAAAAATTACAGCCTCTGCCCTTACAACACCAGAACAGGATACCCTTGGTCCCCTCCCCTGGTCTCACCTATTGACAAAGAAAGGCAGCAACCTTAAAGTCACAGATGGAGGCCATAGGTTGAGAAAATCTCCTTCCTGATCCAGGACATTTAGGTTTGTTTAAGAGAAAAAAACTAATAAATAAACCAAGCCTTCCAATTTTGCAAGTCACTTTTTTTTTTTTGGTAGCAGGGATCGAACTTGGGACCTCGCACTTTCGTACTTGCCAGGCAGGTGCTGTGAACCTGAGCTAAAACCCCAGCCCTTTCACTGTGTTTTTTATCACCTTTCATATTTTGTTTACTTGATTCTAATCAGTGATATGCAAGAATAATGTAACTCCTATTTCATGATGGCTAATGAGTAATATGCCTTTTTCTTTTTTTTTTTGTACCAGGGTTCATACTCGGGACCCTGCACTTTCAAGGCAGGCAGAGGCACTACTGAACTAAATCCTTGGCCCTGTAAGTCACTTATTTTTAAGCCACTTTAGTATTGAGACTTTTTGCTAGATCAATCTATCCTATATACTAATACATTAGACCAAAAACATCCCTTGCAAACAAAAAATTGCCAAAAATAATAAGAAATTCAGAAAAGGTATAAAATAATCACCATCACTTTACAATATATATTAAACTTAACTGAATTTCTATTTGTATATTTTAAAAATTCCTTTTAAAGTAACTGTCAGTTCTCACTTCCAGCACCGATTCTCAGTACCTACTCTCTTTGGATGTTATCGTGAAAGTGTGAATGACCTTTCAGGTTATTTATGATGTCAAATGAACTATCCTCAAAATTGTTATCCTTTTACGGTCAGCAAATCCTTGCAAAGTTCAAGAGATTCATAAATAATGAAAGTTAATATTCTGCTACAATATTTATGAAAAATTGTAAAGCAGAGACATGGACTTCATAATAAGACAATATTTTCTCACTGGCAACTCAGATCAATAAAGATTATATTTCCAAGGTGAAAGTTTTCAAGGCACAATTTCTATTTTCATACTTCCCTATGAGAAGATATTTTCTGCCATTTTCTATAAATCCATGAAATCTTTGTTCAGAATTTTTCAACAAAGAATATTAAAATTCAACAGATATAACTGCTGACATCAGAGTTGCTAGGATGCTCTTCTTACTGGTTTCCTGTGCTTTGTTCTCCAGCTCTGGATAATTCTGTTTCATACAGATCACACCTGCTCTGATCACCTAGGGCATGAGTGATAAGCTCCCGGCACCTGGTGGAAAATGTCCAACACTTCCCAATTCTCCTCTCCCTTTCCTGCTTCTTTTGGAATTTGGCTACCGGGCCTCGGCACACCTGAATGTCTCCCTCCCTCTCTGTGAAGACTCCTCGCTGCTGTCTAGGGCAAGAGCCTCAACCATGGTGAAGAGTTTGTTTATGACACCAAGCCTCCAACTCCCACTCTTAGATTTCTAAAAGCCCTTTGGCAGGAGGATTTATGACTAAAGAAAACCTAATAGGAAAAAGAAGGTATGAAGGACTCACGTATAGAATGATTATAAAAAGCTTCTAAATACTTTATAATCACTAAAACAAATAAAAACCAGATTCAGCAAATAACAATACAGAATACCTAGAGTTTCTTACAAATAATGGATAATTTTTAACATAAATGTATCCCGCGATACTTATACAAACTATGATTGTCTAAAATACAAATGTAACTGATCCTTCTGTTTTATGTGCACCCCTAAACAAAGACAATATAACGAATGAACACAGCAATGAATGCCACACATTAGTAAAGCAGGGATTTAAAGTCTACGCTTATGTATACCAGTCAAGATGTGTATGCGAGAGAATGGGCCAACAAGTATCTATTTGCAAGAATTAGTTTACACGGAAAAAAAAGACATAGAGAAAAGGAGAAGGAGGGAAAGAGGAGAAGAGGGAAGTCAGTATCTGTCACCTCTCAGGCTCCCAGGGCTAGGCCCAGAGGCTTTGCTGAGTCTTTTTATAGAAGGACTGTAGGCCCAGGTTGACAAGAGATTCTAAAAACCATAAGTGCATTTGGTGTCTAGGAACAAGTAACAGTGAGTCACATCATGACCCAAAGGGGAACAGAAGTCTCTTTGCTTCTAAATTTGCTGCTCAAGACCTCAGAATGGGCCCTTGGGCTCAGCCTGAGAGCCCTTCACTTACGAGAGGCACAGCAGCCCGTAGCAGCGACTTCTGCAGTGGTCACAGTGACCAAAAAGACCGAGAAATTTTGCATCCTATTTAACCCACAGAGTTTCTCTTGAGCACGAATGAAACACCCGCTGAATATGGCCAGAAATAACTGGAGGAAAAGCAGAAGCAATTAGGAAACACCCATAGTGACAGATGAAGGCAAGAGCCAGGGAAGAGTGGAGGTTACCAGTGAGACTCTATGTGGGCGTGCAGGCCGATGAGGCCCTGGGCCTGGGTTCCTGCACATCAGCAATGACACAGTGACTTTCTCAGTTCTCTTACCCACTCCTTGCTTACCGGAAACTAATTAGGCTCTCTCTGTGAAAGTTTCAAAGACATGTTATGGACTGGGTCTTTTTCCAAACAATGAACTTTCTTAGAGATCTTTTCTTTTCACCCCTGCAATGTTCCTTTCTCCAAATATTCAATAAGTTTATGAACAAGGAATTATCAACTCTCTACACCCTCACTCACTCTGAAGGTCACCAAACGGTCCTCAGCAATTCGTTTACAGCTGGCCCGATGTCACACACCTGCAATCCCTGCAGAGACAGGAGGATCAAAGTGAGCTCATGGCCAGCCTTGAACCAAAAAAACAAAAGTAAACAGAAAAATCAAAAGAAAAAAAATGCATCTACATGTACTAGAATTTTCTATCAGGTAACTTTTCATCACAAAAGAAATTTCTTCATTGTGCTTCATTTTGTTCACCTTTTATCTCCCGAGAAACCCTTGCTCCTGCCAAGTCACAGCTACAGACAAATACTGACAGCCTAGGGCCTCTTTCAAGTGTCTTGCCACCTAAGGTACTGTGTTCAGAGCTTGAAGCCACAGCTGGTTTCTTCTTCTTGAGGCACCTCCCTTCTGCTGTCCCAAGGGCACAGCCACCAGGCCTAAGTGCTCTTTGCCGTCTTCCCAGAGACCTGGAGTCAGATAAAAGCAAGGTCTTGAGCTGGCCTGTTCTGATCCTAGAGAAGCAGGTGAGGCCTTATTTTTACCCTCTTTTGATTAAACAAGTGGAAATAAGAAACTTTCACACTTTGGGGGCCTCAAAACTCTAAGTAAGAGAGAGGTTTAACATTTTGGAGATGGAAGATCCATCAAGAGTTTACCTTGCCATTAGAAAGATATCTAAGATATCCAGGACTATCCTTAGATTTTAGATCGGGCAACTAAAGTTCAAAGAATGTAAGTGAACTGCCTACATTTGAGTGGCAGTTAGCAGCAGAAGATGGCTAGACACATTGCCTTCCTTCCAGCCTCATCCTCCTATTCTATACCAGTCACACAAATGCCTATAACCAGCATTTCAGAAGTGAAGTCTAATATACTAATTCTGGTTTGTGCAGAGGATAAAGAAAAATCTAGTAATATTGTAGCTAGGTAAGTTAACTAGATACCTTATAGGTAGTTAGGTAGGGCCGGCCTGAGAGGAACCAACATGGAGGACAATCGAGCCAACATGGAGGACAATCAAGATACATTCATTGAAGGCCAGCACTGTAAAAGAAACCACCACACCAGTGTTCAGAGTGCTTCCCCTAAGGATGAATGGCAGGGACTGGTGTTTTAAATAGGTATCAGTCACCTGGGTGGGGGACCAAGATCTTACCCACCTCTTCCAGGAATGATCCCTGATTCACACCTCACTGCAAATCTTTGCTCAGTTCCTTGGAAGTTTGCTAAGTGACTTGCTTCCTCATTTCATCAACATTTAATCAGTATTACGTAAGCGACTATACTTGTCATAATCTTATTGGCTGATCATAGTTTTGTCCACCTTGTGATTTCTCATTGGTTCACTATTATCTAAGCAACTATACTAGCAATCTTACTAATTGCCTATAATTTTACCCCACCTTGAACTCACCTCATTGCTTTGTCCCATAAAACACCTTTGAGAAGCCGTGTTGGTGGGCAATCAGTTTTCCAGTCTTCCTTCTGTCTCTCTTAGAAGCTATCTTTCTTGCAATAAATTTTTCCTACTCTTAACCTCCATCGTTTCTAGAATTCATTCTTTGATTTTAGAAAATATGAACTCGCATTTCGGATATCTCACAAGTTTGAGAGTTGCATCTATTCCCCCTATATCAATAACAGAAGAGTTAATGAGTGTGAGATGTGCATTGTTCAAACCATCTCTAAAACATAGTCTTAGAGGGGAGACAAATCCCAGAGGCACATTTGAAGGTTTGCTATCCCACAAGGCAACTGAGCCAGGGCCTCCTGGGAGACTAGGGACAGTGGCCACCTCTCTGGTCATCTTGTCTCTCTCTCTCCAGCTCCACCTTCTTAGAGTTGGTGGAGGGAGGTCAGGTGGACCTTGTGGTGGCTAACTTTATGTAAACTTGATTGGGCTAGGATATCTGGAAAAATACTATTTGAGGGTATATCTTCAAGGGTGTTTGGGGAAGATATTAACATTTGAATAGGTACACTAAGTAATGAAGAACACCCTCAACCACATGGGTATACATCATCCAAACAGCTGAAGACATGGATGGAACTAAGACAGCAAGGTGAATTTGCTCTGTCTTCTTCAGATGGAACATCCATCTTCTCTTGCCCTTAGTCACTGAGACTCCAGGTTTTTGGGTCTTCAGCTTAGACCAGAACTTACACCAATGATTATCTGGTTCTTGAGACTTCTGTCCTGGAAGGAAACTAAAACATCAGCTTTCCTGGGACTCCAGCTTGAAGAAAGCAAATTGTGGGACTTCTCATCTACCATAATTGGGACATGTTCCTCTGGATAAACCTAACATAGCCTTTTTATTACACAGAAGCAATATTCAAGATCCTAGTTTAGGCTGAAGGAGAAGGAAGATCCTCAGTCTTCTAACCTGAGCCACCAAGTCTAGTCTAAATCACCAGAGTTATTGCCTAGCACAATGCACAAAACATTTCCTTGTTTTCATTTGCAATATTTGCATTGCTCTTGAAAATCCAGAGGAAAAAATTACTGATAACCTGGCAAGATTCAGAAACAGTATTCCTGTACAGTATTCTTAACCATAATATCATCTCACCACCAACCCAAACTTATCATAACTAGTAACAAGAGATAATTCTAGAGACTGGATAGTAGCAAAAGCAGAACCAGAAAGACTGCATGTAATGGAGTCTTCCAACCTCCAGAGGAGAGCATCAGGAAATGAGGTACAGAGAAACTAGACCAGAAGATCAGGAACAAGAGGCAAAGACTGAGTATCAAAAGGGAACAGGGCAAGGGCCAATGACCAACTTTACCTGCCCATGTTCCCATCTAGACAGAAACCCCAGGAGTCTCCAAAATTTATTAAGCAAAAATCTATTATGTAACCAATTTCTAAGAGACTCAGACTAAGAATTACCATTTTCGTGAAACACTTACCTTACCATAGATCATGAGTAAGACCCAAGACTCCCAAGCTAATCTACCTATTATGTGGGCTTTCTAACTTAAGACTTACTGAATATATAAATGAATGGGGCTAGGGATTTAGCTCAGTGTCACTGCACCTGCCTCACAAGCACAAGGTCCTGAGTTCAACCCCTGGTACTGGAAAAAAAATACTTTTAGATAATAAATGAATAAATGATTTCTTTTTCATTGCCTCTTTTGTCTTTCATCTGAAAATTGAACATTTGGCATTAAAAACTACCAACAGAATCAGTATTTTAATCTGTTAAAAATATTTTAAAATCTCAACATTTCAGTAAAATCTGTTCATAAATTATTTTACTGAAACTATAGGCAGCAAAAATTTGAGGGGGGATCAGGAGTTAACACATACACAAGAAGTAAAGTTTCAGAATTTTTATTGGAAACATCACTAGAAAACTCTAAGAAAATTAATACCTGTAACCTTGGAAAGAAATCAATTTCCAAAGATAATTTATCACTTCAAACAAGTCCTTCAGGGAAGTACTGGATGTAAAAAGAAATGAAATAATGATGTGCTCATTATTTGGGAGCTGGGCAAATCCTGAAGAGACTTATTAATTGCTCTATAATCCACATCCTTTCTCTATTCAATTGTAATGGGAAAATGGGTAACATGGTCAATTTGAACTTAGACTTCAGAGTTATTTTATAGGAACATTCACAGGGTTACATATGTATTTTTACTTATAATATTTAATTTTGTCAATAATATTAATTGGTTAATATCACAATGTATAAAAATTCTCAAATATGTCATAAGATAAATGGAAAATAACAACAGTATGTGAAGGGCACAGTAGGAAATGTTTTACTTTCTAACCACCTCTTTATCTTTTTCTCCACCTCGTCTATCAATCTTCTTCTTCTTCTTTCCATGTAACTATCAACCAGAGTCCATGTTTCAGCCCTACCACAGAGGCAGACAGAATCCTGTATCCAATCGCATCCTTCCCTGAAAATGGAATGGCAGCCTGAAAAGCCAAGCCCACATGTGACTTCAGTCTTTGGATCTTTCCAGCATTTAAGAGCTACTATATCTTACCCATCATGCAGTTCCTTCTCCTTAAACTGGTCTCCAGGAAGATGCTCTCCAACCACATGGGTCTCAAATGGTCCTGGAGTAATAATATGTCTATCATCTTCTGCTTTACATGAACCCCACTTACTCATCTTCCTTCACATAGCTATTTTTAAACAAAATTTCCTTGGTGATTTTGTGATATACTCTTTTCCTACATTTTATTTAAATTTTATTTCTCTGTTAAAACCTATATGAAATGGATAAATTCTTTGACACAGATAACTGACCAAAACTGAGTCACAGAGAAATGAGAAATCTTAATAGGACACTAACAAGCATGGAGATTTAATCAGTAACTTTAAAAAACTTCCTGTCAAATAAAAGCTGAGGACATGATGGCTCTACTACCAATTTCTACTAAACATTTTTTTGGGGGGAGTATTGGGGATCGAATTCGGGTCCTTGCGCTTGCGAGGCAGGCACCACTGAGCCAAATCCCGGCCCTCTACTAAACATTTTTAAATGAACTAATTTTATTTTTTATTAACTATTCCCCCCAAAAAAATTATTTGAAGAAGTCAGAAGTCTTCCAAACTCATTCTACTAGGCCAGCAAAAAAGGGCACCACAAATAAAAGTCCAGATCAATACCCATGATGAATATAAATGTGAAAGTCCTCAACAAAATGCTACCAAATCAAATTCTACATTACATTAAAAAGATCATGCAAGGGCTGGGGATTTAGCTCAATGGTGCTTTCGCCTACCTTGCAAGCACAAGGTTCTGAGTTCAATCCCTGGTGCCAAAAAAAGACTATTCAGCATGACCAAGTGGAATTCATCTCTGGGTTGCAAGGAGGCTTAACAAATGCAAAGCAGTAAACATAATCATGTACATGTGTACATGACACAACAGGCAAAAGGACAGAAGCCATATGATTGCCTCAATAGCTGCAGAAAAAGCATTTGACAAAATTCAACTTTCCTTCATAACAGAAACTTTAAACAAATTAGGTATAGGAAGAATGTACCTCAACACAGCTATGGGCATATATGAAAATCCCATAGCTAACATCATACTGAATAGGAATCAGG